TGATATTTTTTCCAAAATTAATTTGTGTCTCTTAGTTATAAGGTTCAAACAAATGCTTTGCAATGCTTTAACTTTTAGTTAACTGTTTTGTAGCAGTGCTGGCACATTAGGGATAGGTAACCATGGGACATTGACCTGATCTTTATAACAAAAAGTGTCAGATCACGAGCTCTAATCCCTCCAGCCATTGATTAATTAAACCTCACAGTATCCTTGTAATAGGTGTTATCAGATAGATGCAAATCTACTCTTATGGGTAGAAATATTGAGGAACACACTGGTTGGTACAGTCACTTTCTCAGTCAAAGCTGGGTTTTGGTGTTCAGGAATAGCAGCCACTTGGTTTTTCTCCAAATCCTGCACATTCAGTGCCTCTTGAAGGAAAGCCCTGTGCCCTACCTGTGGTTGAGTTCTCCACTGCATTGACTTGAGGATTGATGCAGGAGCAATAATGAGAATTTTTCAGAGTTCCCCCGTTACTGCTTTTACCGCTGTATGTGCTGATTCACGAGACAGTTTGGAGTGTTCAGCTTTTTTATCTGCATGCTCACTTGTACAATTATTTGTTCCAGACATTCCTACGGGTGCAGGCAGTTTACATATGTTTCTTTTGATATGCGGACTTCGAAGAGTCAAAGACCCTCTGTATTTAGTAGATGTATTTTCAGGTATGTATTTGAATACCCTTGTTTAGTCCCTGGATTCAGATGCATTTCTTTTAATGTTTGTAAGTTTGGCATAAGCTGTTTTATTCACTGTAGAAAACTTCATAATATATTTACATTAGAAGAAAAGTGCTCATGTAACCATTGATCTGCTCAGCGCTTTATTTCTGTGCTGCGTCTCTTCCAGCCTGCTGGCAATAACAGAGCGTTCAAATCAAAGCAATAGCTGATGATTTTACTTGCTGGGAAAACTGTTTTGCTGTTCCATACAATATTAATGGAAGACAACAGAGGAGTTCACCTACTTCAAAATAACTTTTTAATTTGACTGTCCTGTGGCTGTTAGACTGATTTGCATGTGCGCTAATTAATATCATTGAAGTTACAAGCAGATTTTACCACCCATTGTTTGGCTTAACGCTGTAAACGAGGCTGAAGTTTTCTTGTAGCTGGATGTTTGGCCATTTTCTGCTTGTGTCTCTAAAAGGTTCATGTATTTCAAGCTGGATATTTATCCTCCACTATTTTACAAGCCTTTACCACCTTGTGACACTCAGTAAAAAATGTAGTTTATTACAGTCAAGTAACTGCTTCAGTTCTGTTCTGGAATTGAAAGAGCGACAGATTTCTCTTGTGCATTTAACTATTAATTGTAATGGTTGCAGTTGCTTCCACATACTCCTTTACATAGGAAAGAATTCAAATTATTTGTCTTAGTGGCCAGAGTTGCTGTGTTATACTGAGCACTGTTCTCTTGAGATGATTCAAAATTAATATCTGAGCTTAATTAAAATAACCCTCAAAACATAAGAGATTGCATGAAGCAGAAATTCTAAATGCTAACTTCCAGATGTGCTCATCATTTGAGTTCTGAGGAGTGACGTGAGGGCTGGTCATGGAACCAGGCTTTTAAATAGCAATACAGTACAATACTTCTAATTCTTCTTTATCCATGTAGCTATTTACATTGATTCTAGAGAGAGAATTACATTAAATTAAAAAATTGATAATTTTTATTCATTAAAATGATGTTCCTCTTCTGTTTTAGATTGGCACAGAAAGGATCCCAGTGTCCATCTGGGCATAATTGGACCTGCAGTAAGTTGTTGTAATTTTTACTTTATTAGTATCTTTATTGCTAAATGCTTCCATTTACTTGCATCTGAGATATTTCAATGACTCTCCCAACTGAACCTGAGTCGGAGGACCTCTACCTGGTGCAGAGATAAGAAGGTACAAACGGAGCAGTTATAAAGGCTGTTCACAACAGGTCCAAGCTGTGGAAATGGAAGTGATTCCAGTCCTTGGACTTTCAAATTCCAGAGCTCTGCTGCCAGCTGAAAGGTCTCCTCACCCAGCACCTGCTCTGCGTTTGCATTGCAAAGGGGAAAGCAGCTAAGAGGGTTTTGCTAAGAGGATATGCACCGAGGTAGCCCAACTCTGTTAGTTTAGGATTTATTAATGCAAACTGTTATCAATAGCACTAAAATAGTTGACAGCAGCTGTGGATTTGTTTTCCATGCACTGTTTTATTTTGTTCATTTAGGAGGCGTGGGGTAGTTTTAAAAGGGCATTTGCATCTGGTCTGTAATATTATGTGTAGCACATGGCTTGACAATGCTATTAATCTATTATGGCCTCTTAGAACAAAACATTTAGTGTTTCATTTGACTACAGAAACAACTTTTGGAGATAAAAAATGTCAGTATATTTGAAGTCTAATATTGGCTTCTGTTTTTGTACCTGTGAGGTGATACAAAATTGGTTAGAGAATCAGAAAGTACTTAAAAATGTGAACTACTGCAAATAAACTATTAGAAATGCCTATTTCAATATCAATAATTTATAAACGAGCCTACCAAATATTTTGGAGAGTCAACAGTTCTCATCTGGCAGAATCTTGTTAGCAGGTATTGCTAATGAGGGTTTTTAATACTGTGACAGTGACATCAGATGCTCCCTAGCCCTGTTCCTGCATCTTTTGTTCACGTGCAGGATCGTGTCCTTGCTCCATCCCATTTCGATTTTGGTGCCGTTTCTGGTCACCTCAATTTGTACACAATTAACGGTTGTCAGCAGGTGCCAAATGATGTGAGGTTTCTGTCTGACACCGAACAGCAAGGACAGAGCTTGAGCTGACAAATAAAATCAGTGCAGCCTGCTTCATGTTTAGAATCTCAGTGCGCTAAAGCCTGGGATGCAGATACCTGAGAGGGAAACTGGGGTTGAAGAAAGGAATTAAAATCAGAAACAGAGTTTATCTTGTATGTTCACATCTCAGATTAAGCTTGGAGTTGGTATCATTGCTTCCAAATCGGCTATATGTATTTTAGTAAACAAATTTGGAAGTTCCAGTGCCTTTTTTCCCAGCAGGGTCAGTCAGTTAAAACGCAGCTCGGCTGTGATTGCTGACTCTCTTTAGGTAAAACCTGCTCTTGGGTTGCCGTCTCAAAGTGTTGCCACGAGTTTCTCAGCAATGGTTTCCTTTTCATGAAGCACCAGCTCCTGAAAAAGTTTAAAATAAAAACTATCACAGTCATTACTATGAAATAGTCTCCAAGTTGTGGAGCAAGGTTTGAAAATGTGAGCTTATGAAGCATGAAGATTAACAAGAAAAACTATTGAACCCTCCAAACTCCACCCCTTCACTTCTAAATCTGGTAGTGTGATTTTTGAGGCAGTAACAAGACTGAACCCCTCTGAAGAGGGAAGCATGCACCAAGTCAGACTCAGCCAAGTCTGGGTCTGTTCTGATCGCTTAAAAGGCGGTGAGGAGTTGCATACATTTTCTGCCAGTCCTTTCTTTTCTAATGGTCTCTCCAAACTTGGTGTTTGAGTATCCACCGTTGTTTCCAGTTATTTCCACTTTGAGATCTGCCTGAGTTCACCTGCAGAAACTGCAGCCTTTAGAGAGGAGCTGTCCATGAACGTGTAAATGTTTTTATGATTTCTGTTGGGCACAGTGCTGAAAAAGTGCAAAACTATTTTCAGAAACATGAGAGAAAGGTGAATATTTCCCAAATCTCAGTCTACCCAATACCTTACCTAAATATTTGCTAGCACAGCATTTGCTGTGGGCCCGATCTGGAGCAGCAGTGACTGCTGAGCAGTTGCCTGTGTCGAGCGAACGTACTTTACGCTAAACAAAGCTAATTGCAGGACTTTGAAGACATAAATTAGTTGTGCTCCGCGTATATCATCCATAGCAGCAGAAGTCTGGGAAAGGCAGCCTGTAGCTTTAGTCTAACCAGTGGAAAAGGTAGGAGTAGGCAGCTGTGTCATAGGAAAAAACCTCTTGCTGATTCTAAAAGGTTATTAAAGCTTCACTGTTTCATCTGGGTAATGTGTTCATGCCCCTCTGTAAGCCTTATCTCTGATTCATCTTCACATGATAGATAAAATCTGAATAGGCAAATAAGAACTATTTTAGGATTTTCTCATTCAGTTTTGTTCTGTATAAATTTTGGGACATAGGATTTTAGTTCGAAAAGCCGGGTTTGCATTTTTATTTTATCTGCTTCCTTTTTCCACGCTAATACACAAAATGATTTGGAAGTGAACTGGTGTGGAAGGCAAATCTAGAGCAGGTGTAATGAAGCCGTGCTTTGGAATCCGAAGATGCACTTTCTGCCTCCAGTGAGGATTTTAAACATTTTAGTAGTCGTCTTAAATTTGCTTCACTTTCTCATAAGCCAGTGGCTTTACAGTAAGCTACCAGAAATAACCTGTGCACTGCATTGGTGGGATCAAGCACTGAACCTCCTTAAAGCATTTACAAACTTACTTCTCCCTTAGTACTAAAATATTGCTAAAGGATGAAAATAAATCTCATCTCTGTTGGTATTTAGCTCTACTTTTTCTTATCCGTGTTACTTCTCAAACCACAAATCTTAACAAAATCAGTGCAGTTATCTGTGAAGCAAGTCAGGGTTATTGTGAATATTAAAAAACACACATTAAGATGATATTAATTAAGAGTATAAGGAACAAAGGACCACATACACCTTTCTGCACTGCTTCCATACGGTTATCACCTTCTCCCTGCATTTGCTGTGCACGATTGGTGCAGTCAGAGTCAGGATGCAGGATTGGGTTCTGTCTAATGACAAATTTTTAGCACTTACCTCCTCTTCCAGTTTTCCTTTTGTTCATTTCTGTCATGAAATTTGAAACATGGCTCATTTTCAGCAGCTCTAGATTTCAAGAGTAGAAGCTTATGAAACTTTTAAAAGGTTAAGGCCACAAAACATGTGTCCAGCTGTTGGGTCACCTCTTGACGCCCACTTTGTAGCCTGTGTGTGAGTCTTAACCACAGATCATACAGAATATTGCTGTTCATGATGGCACTGGTTTTCATTGATGGCTATTTTTCATCTGTCCAGTTTCTTTCCATGCCTGTTGAGACAGTTTGAGTATCTGCAGATAGAGGGACCAACCAACCGGGTCATGTAGCTCATCTCTTTATAGTGGATGTGGTACCTACTCTGTGTTTTCTGGGCTGCTTCTAAACTGAAACAGCTCTTGACACAACTAAACTAAGCCCAATACCCTGCTGCAGAATATCCTAGAGCACAATAATGAGGAAAATCAGATAGGAGACAAAGATACAATTTGGAATTCTTTCGCCTATTGAGGAATATGAAATTCTGCCAGCTACATCTTGAATAAATGTCCTGCTCACTGAGGTATTTTATAAGGTAAGAGCTACTGCCACCATTAGCTGACAACTCTTCTAACCCCTTCTTTGCTTGTTCTTCAAGAAAAGCTCCCTGAAAATGAAGCTTTTGTTAGCAATGCTGAAATGAGCTGTTCCAGTATTTATTTCTTAAAAAGGGTTATTTATTTTTCTGTTAATTGTCCCAAATTGCAGTAGTAAAGCTACATATTAAGCCAGAAGATACTGCATTTCCTTAAGCGTTTAGTATTTGGAAAAGCTGATGTAGAATGGCTGAGCTTAGTGTGTTCACAAGTATCTGATGTCTCTGATTGTGTTGCAGTGCAGACAGAAGTGGTGTTTTCAGTTGTTGTGGGGGAAGCTTGGCCTTGCTGAGGCCGCTCAATAATTGATCAGATCAAAATTGTACTGGGGGGTCACCTGCTGCTGTGAATAAAGCTGATTCCTTTCACAGTGATGCTGTCAAAACCCCACAAACACGAGCAATCGAGCAAATTCTTCCTGTCTGTATTGAATATGCTTGCAGATATAGCTTTTCACTCTTCAGTACTCTGGGCGGCAGAGCTTTAAATGTACCAAGACCTGTTGATCTGTGACTTTCTGTCCCAGGTGTTTCTGTCCCAGATGTTTCTTTGCCTGTCAGCAGAGCAGGACTTCCTTAAGAGCACATCTGGTCCTGTTAGGCGGGGTTTCTTGCTACGTACCCACTCCCCATGTCTCATCTCATCTGTTCTGATAGAAACGTCATGCAACACAAGCTGCTTTCCTCTAAAGTGATGAAATGTGCAGCTCTCTGCAGGCTCTCCCTCTGGATGGATGATTTTTTAACAAAAGATGATAGGTAACTGATGATCATGTTTGCATGCTACATTGATAGGTAACAAAATATAATGTGGCAACTAATGCTCCATCTGTAGAAGAACTGGCTCGTGGAGACATTTTGGGTGGAAATAACATGTTTTTCTTTTCAGTAGCTTTTTCTGAGCCTGTGCTGAGTTCCTAGGCACCCTGCCATAGTTGGCTTTGGAAGCATTCGCATCTTTTAAGTGTATTCCAACTTACTGAACAGCTTATGTTGTATCTAATTTCTGTTATATTGAGCCTGTGGTTAGATAACTGTGCCCCCTCAAGTTCCTAAATGTAGCTCAGGGGGATCACTTATCTAAGTCATTGCTACACCCATCCTGAAAGTAATATTTTAGCTGAATTCTCATGTTCAGATGAGGCTTCTTGGAATATCTACCAATAGGATACAACTTAAAGGGTTGTAGTGTTTATGAGGCAGGTGGCAGTTTCTTGGCTTCCACAGGAGAAGATGGGATAGAAATTAATACCCTACAAATGCTGTGAGTCACAGGCTGTAGTTTTGCTCATCCTTCTGAAGGTTGAAGAGCAAATGACCACGTCCCACCGGTCATTAAATCACTTGCAAGTACACCATTGATTTTAATGGAAACAGAGTGTAGTTCCTCCTGAGAGGATATCAGCATCCAAATAGCACTTTGGGAAAAAGGTGAAAAGGTGTTTATATAGAAAGAGCGATTGTGGAGTTCAGCATGAAATACCCAAGGAATCTGTGACATGACGTGCTGGTTTAGTGTATGGATCTGTATCTCAGGCTGTCGCCAGGATCAAGTAAAGCTTCAGGAAAAGGCACTTTAGATTCCAAAAATACGTTCTTAAGCAGTTATGCAAGCCTTTTATGTCTTGCATTTAGTGGGAATTCATTCATTGGTGTGATTCGCTTGAATCTTTTGATTCAAAAGCCCTGTTTTCATGATGTTGTGTTCAAAGTACACAATCATAGTTGTAAAATAAATTCTGATTCTTTTTCCAGAAGAGTTTTCTAAATGTTTTTTGAGTGTTCTCTATTTCATAATGTGGAAAAACCCAAAATATTAACATGCATTGAAAATAATAAGCCACGTTGTTCCCAGTACTTAAAACTGCTGCATGCAGTGCAAGCTATCATAAATTAATCTAATATAGTCAGTCAGCCTTAATAAAAAAGTCTAGTTCTGTTCTTCATGTCTAGTTAAGAATTTCAAAGTCTGTTTATTTATTTTAATCATTTTAGATGAAAACAGCAGACACAGTTAAGCTTTGTGAATAAACCTACTGGAGTTAATTGCCCAGCTTAGACAACTTTTTAATAACTCTAGCATGCCTTCATATTAGACTATATTTTAGAATTTTATAGCATCGAATCATAGCATACCAGGTTGGAAGGGACCACAAGGATCATCCAGTCCAACCTCTCCAGGTAAAAGTATCGTTTAAATGAGATGAGGCAGCACCTTGTCAAGCTGACTCTTCAAACTGACCAGTGTAGGGGAATTCACCACTTCCCCTGGAGATCATTCCAATGTCTAATGGATGGATTAATCCAGTGTCTGATTGATCTCATGGGAAACCAGTCTTCTCCTGGAGTTCAATGGGAATCTCTCCAGACACAACTTGTGTCCATTGCCCCTCGTCTTTTCCATGGGACTCCTTGTTAAAGGGAGTCTCCATCCTCTTGGTGCCATCCTTTATGTCCTGGTCCATGGTGATAAGGCGCCCCCTGAGCCTTCTCTTCCCAAGGCTGAATAGGCCCAGTTTCCTCAGCTCTTCCAGTCCTCTGAGCATTCTCGTGGCCCTGCTCTGGATCCTTCCAGCCTGTCCACATCTTTTTTGTATAGCAGGGACCAAAACTGGACCCAGTGCTCAAGGTGTGGTGTGACCAGTGCCGAGTAGAGAGGGGTGATGACTTCTTTGTCTCTGCTGGTGATGCCCTTTTCAATGCAGCCCAGCATCCTGTTGGTTTCTTTACACTGCAGCACTGCTCCTCATGCTGAGCTCCTCATCCACCAAGACCGCAGGTCCCTTTCCCCAGGGCTGCTCTCAGCCAGGTGGACCCAGTCTCACTGCACTCTTGGATGATGCATTCCCAGATGCAAGACCTTACATTTGTCCGTGTTGAACTTCAGAAGGTTCCTGCTGGCCCACTCATCCAAATTGTCCAGGTCTTTCTTGAGGGTGGGTCTCCCTTTCTGAAGTGTCAACCACCCCACTCATTTTGGTGTCATCATCAGGGAGCTCCTGATCCCAACATCCAGATCACTAATGAAGATATTAAATAGCCCAGTATTGATCCCTGAGGGACCCCACTTGTGACTGGTTGCCGCTTAGAGAATGGACCATTTATTACCACCCTCTGGGTATGGCCCATCAGCCAATTCCACACCCACCGCACAGCCCACTTATCTACATTGTAGTTTGTTAGCTTTTCAAGAAGGAGGTTGTGGGGGGGGACCATGTCGAAAACCTTGGAGAAGTCCACGTAGACAACATCCACCGCTCGCCCCGCATCAACCAAATGGGTCACTCGTCATAAGAAAGCAATCGGATTTGTGCATAACTTCTATCTGACCGTCTGGGTTTACATGCAGATTGCTTCCTGTGTTAACCAAAGTCTGGAAAGCTCCTTTCCATCCTCTCCCTGCTCACTCCATCCATAGAGGCGCAGACAATTGCTGGGCGCATCAGCGCGCCGTTCCTCACTTAGCGAGTTGTCAGATTGGTCCTTGGGTTCCTGTTAGCCTTAGCAGAGCCATCTGAAAGTAGTCATTCATGTTAAATAGATCTGGCTCTAATGAGAACCTGCAGCCAGAGGGATGTCAGGGGAGAAGACGTGGACCCTCCTCTCGTGACAGCAGCCCAGTGCCACACTGCATCAGAGGAGTCGCTTCAAGGCTCGGAGTGGAGCTGTCAATTCATGCTCTGCTTTACTCACCCACCAGCTGGGTATGCCGAGTGTGTCACTCACAAGAGCGTTTGTCTGAAGAGTCAAATGTAAGCACCACGTTACAGATCTGTGCTATGATTTGAAAGCATTTAAATATTTTAGTGAAAAAACGTGCTAAAACTTTATTTTTCTTTTCTGGGCATTTCAAACATAGGCTGCAGTGCCGTATACCTGTGTATGTGTTCCTTTCTAGGTCGATCCACTTTTTACAAGTGAAGTTAAGGAAAAAGTTAAGAGGTAAGAAGTTAATGTCTAGCCTTCTATCTGCTCCAAATGAAAGCAGTTGGGTGAGTAGCCCGCATGATAATCGTGCTCCATTTCCCTGCATATCAAAACCGAGTATTTTTCATAAATCTCTGCGTGCATCTTCCCTATATTAAACACATTCTTTAAGGTAAAATTACACCCCTACTATTGAACTCAACTCCTTCATTTCTGAGCCTGATTGTGGTGAGCAGAGCATGGTGTTAAGTGATCAACTATAAAACTCCAGAACAAGAGATATCGAAGCAGCAGATCGCAGTGTGTCTACTGTACTGACTTTGTAGCCGCATTTATAGATAGAAAGCTAACCAAAACCACAGTAAACTGGCTTACCCATGGGTGAGGAGTGACTGTTGGCATCAGAACTGAATTGCTCTGAGCACCTTCCATCATTGCCCTGAGTTTTGGGAGGAATTGTTCTTAGGAGGTGCCTGTTTGTGTGCGTTTTATTTCCAGGGCCCCTGGAGTACACTTATTACAGGAGCTGCCGCAGGATGATCTTCACGCTGCTATGAAAAGGTGCTTTGCTGTGGTGAACAGCTCCATTTCAGAGGGGATGTCGGCTGCAATTCTGGAGGTAATTGCGTCTTAGCGGTCAGGCTTTTCAGTGAGGTTACAGTGAATGGGAAGTGGCCTTTTATCACTGGAAATGTGTGTCAACACTTTATGGCCGTGTTTCAAAGGTAGTGAAGACAAAACCAAAATGTTTCTTTTTTGTAAGCGTTAGTAATTAAGGCTTTCTTCCCTTGAACTGATGGTTTTTTATGCTTTGTCTATTTATTTTTTAAAGGACGGGGTGTAATTTTATCAACCCTGTTAAATTAACAGTACAGACCTGAGATATGTGAATCATTCTGATTTATTGGGGTTGCCACTATTCTTGATTCAACATCCACATCCTTATAATGTTGCTAGAACAGACTTTCATTTATTTCTACATCCTTTCAAAAAGCAATCTAAGAGCTGTATTTGGTTATTTAATTCCAAAGTGATTAATGAATGAATGACACGCTTAGTTAATTTTTTTGCCATCAGTATCAAAAATTAATAACCAAGTTTATTTCATACCTGTCAAATTAGGGTGCTGCTTAGTAACAAGTCCTTTCTGGGGAAAACATAAATGTACTTAAAGTGGAAGTTCTTTGGGCAGATGCCTTTTACTGTATGTATGTTTGGTGACTGCTGAATGTTGGTTCATGGCAATCACAGAAACTATTCCATGATTTGCAGTAATGAATCTCCTGTTTCTGTTTCTGATGAGGAACCACACATTGCATTTCCACCATGCTTTGCTTCCACACATCTGCAAGCCCTCATAAGTAAGAACTAAGTGAGCATTGTAAGAATTATGGTAGATAATTACAGATGATGGTGACGCAGCAAGTGTGTATTTCTTTTCTAAAATGCCAGTGCTCAAAGGTGGAAGCAGATGCTGTTTCACAGCAACAGGACTCTATAGACAACAATTACTGCAGACTGTGGCATTTCTGAACTTCTCAGGGTGGCAGGCTAGACAAAGTTTGTATGTTGGGTAGTTGAGATGGAATGGAGTGTGCCAACACAGTGCACAGCCACAACCAAGCCAGCGATTCCCAGAAGTACCAGGTAAGTAACTGTCACCTCCTCCTCGCAGTTACGTGTTCTCTTCAGGACAAGCCATGTAACTCTTGACCAAAAATCAATCTGATTTGTTTCCTGAGAGTGTCAGTGACTTGAGAGGGGGAGAAAAAAAGGCAGGGAAAAAGCTAACCAGAAAGACTTCTAAGAGACACAGCATCTGCAGCAGAAGTGCAAGTGTGCTTGGCCTGATACAGGTTGCTGTGCAAACTCAGGACTGACAGGATAATTGGTACAGTTTTCCCCAAATTGTCCCATCTGATTTGAGCAGTTAAAAGGCACTTTCCTTATCTTTTATCAGGAGAGGGAGCAATCTGCTGAGTTCAGTGTCTTCATAAATATGTGGTATCTCAAAGCAATAAGGTAATGCCAGTTTACTTCAGAGGTAATGTTGAGCCTGCTTCAGGAACTGCTGAGTTTTGCTCTCTTTTGAAGTTGCAAATCTGACAAGTCTGAAACCTGACAACTACAAGACGAAATCAACCAGGAAAGTTTTGTATGTGAGCTCCTCTCTGTGTGACTGAACTGTTCAATTATCCTATCAGGGCTATTAAACAGTCAAATACCACCTCCAGTGGAAAGCTGGTCCTTTAAGCTTCCACTGCACAGTCATGTTGAGTAATTCATACCCAGACCTGTCAAAAACCCAAGCAAACAAACTAAAAACTGTTGTTCTCACTCAAAATTACTAAACAAACAGAATAGTAAATATTTCCTGTTAGATTTCTCCTCTTTCTCTAAGAATTACAAGACTATTCTGGCAGGATGTCTTTATATACGCTTGCAACATTGGTTTCTTCCATTTTGATGTTTTCCTTACATCAGAAAAGAAGTAGATACAGTTTGGTGTTGGATGTGTTTACAAGACAGTTGCACAGTGGGATTTGATGACATGCTTATAAAATATCCCACTGTAAAAGTCTCTCAGAGTCAGTGTCAATGTAATAAAGAGATGGCCAGCGGTAGGAAGAGCCATCTGTTGAGGTCTTGTTAAATTGATAAGGCAGAAAACTGTGTATGAAAATCTTCTGGTCCTAGGCTGGAGGGAACATCTTGCTTGAATTTGGCAATGCAACTTCCATTCTCTTGAAAGCTCAGAATTTAACGAGGTCATGAATCTGTAACCGGTATTGTAGTATGAGGTAAATATGTAATAGCTAAGTGAGATAAAATCATATCCATTCCAGCCTGCCCTGAGGTATGAGAGAACTAGAAGCCATAACTAATTACTTTGTCATCTAGTACTGATATCTCAGAGATTTTGCCATAACTGGCATTGGAAGAAGAGACAAAAAACATTATAGCAAGTGTTTAAAAGACACCTCTTCCTCAGAAAGCTCAGGATTCTGCATATTCCTGGGTATGTGATGGTGAAAAAGGCACTGCTACTGGAAAATGTGATGTACTCTATATGGTTGGTATGAAAAATGTGTTGGCTTAGCACTATTTAATCATGGTACTGCTGTGCTCTCCAGAGCATTGCAACTGCTGTAAAAATCATTGGATTAAGCTTTTTAAAAAAGGAAAATAAAGGAATAATATAGAAAAGGAAGATGGCGATGCTCTGTTCTGCTGTGGGGCAAAATCCAGTCTTGGACAGCATCTGTAGTTTGGAATATGAACCATAGCAAACTATAAAAATAAGAATGTAGGGATGTTTTAGAGCAGTAAAATTGAAGAGGGGCCACCAAAAAGATGCATAGGCTAGGAGGAAGAAAATGAGGGTGATCCAGAAAGGTAGAGAGTAAATAAAGCTGGTATTTACTCTGTGAGCCTTACAGTGCTGGTTAGAAATGCTCATTGTGTAACAGGCTTTCAAAGCTGAAACTTAGACCCTGCGTCCTTCCGAAGTAGCATTAAAACACATTTGCAGTCAGAATAATGTAACAAAGCAGATGGCCAATGGACTAAAACGTTATTTTATGCTATTATTTGTGGAACCTAGGTCAGTAAATTATACATATTTCCAACAATGCAAATGATTCTTTTTACTGCTTAAAAATAGACTAAGTATCTAAATTAAATTCTAAGCCACTTCATGCAGTAATTATTTACAGCCCAATCCATTTGTTTAAGGCTAGCTGGTACAAAGGCAGCCCCTCTTCTTATGTGTTTGGCCATCTGTTCTGTCTTTCAGTAGCTATAATTCATTGGTACCTATGTGTTTTGGGACCTGGAAGTTTTCTTATGTAGCGGTTACTGCCCTCCAACTCTGTGAGTCAGAACAAATGTCTTTCCCTTTAGGGTTCCAGAATTACAGAAAATGAAATATAAACTTAGTGATCAACTTCAGTGAATCATCAACCATGTAGCACTCAGAAACAGAGGTGAATAAACATAGCTGGAGACATTTCTTTTTAAAATGTGTGCTGCAGTCCAAGCTAAACTGCAGGACAGCAATACTGTGCCAGCCTGTGCAGCCACCCCATGAGGTAGAGTCCAACACAGACCTGCCACAGGCCACTCACACACGTATTTGATGGCCGATGTGCAGCCCAAGGGCACAGTGCCCACTGCTCACTGCATCTGACACGCTTGAATCCAAGCTTCACCGAATATGAGGAGTTGGAAGGGACCTGGAAAGCTCCCCCAGTGCAACCCCCCCAGAGCAGGATCACCAGAGCAGTCACACAGGAACACGGCCAGGGCTTTGGGTGTCTGCAGACAAGGAGACTCCACAACCTCTCTGGGCAGCCTGGGCCATGCTCCAGAACCCTCACACTGACAAAGTTTGGCCTCATCTTCAGCTGGAACCTCCTGTGCTCCAGCTTGGGACCATTGCCCCTTGTCCTGGCATTGGCCATCCCAGAGCAGAGCCTGGCTCCTTCCTCCTGACACTGCCCTTTCCCAATGGATCCCCAGGAATGAGGGCACCCCTCAGGCTCCTCTGCTCCAAGCTCAAGAGCCCCAGCTCCCTCAGCCGCTCCTCAGCAGGAGATGCTCCACTCCCTCCATCATCTTTGTGGCTCTGCTGGACTCTTTCAAGCAGTTCCTGTCCTTGAGCTGAGGGCCCAGCACTGGACATGATACTGCAGATGTGGTCTGAGCAGGGCAGAGCAGAGGCTCCTCTCAGTCCTGCAGGTAAACATCCAACTGACAGTCCTGGGGTGCTTGGGTTGTGTTCTGTGTGCTCTTTCCTTCCTGTTTTTCATTCACATGGTGCTCTTACCCCTGAATGGACGATCACTTGTTTGGGAAGTAGCCAGAGCTGAAATAGCTGCACAGTTTGGGTTTTTAAGAGGAGAAACACAGCGGGGTGAGCAGAGGGCCTTAGGCAGGTGACAGTGAATGAGGACACACTTCACTATCAAGCTCCTGATTCTCAGTTCAGAAGTTCAAATAAAACATCTTAATTCCCTGTTCATTGAAGGTGTTTGAATGAGGTCAGCAGCCAGCAGACTGAGCACAGGGGCATTAAACCTGTCCATAGGAAGGGCTGGAAAAGAGCTGAATCTGAAATTCTCTCTCTCTTGGAGGTGTCGATGCTGCTGTGGGAGCTCTGTGTTAGGTCTGCGTAGGGTAATTAAAGCCCAAAGCAGCTTCCTTGACCCTCAGATTCAAAACCTATCAGACGGAGCAGGGCTCTGATGTTTCTTATTTTCTGGGTGAACTTTGAAGCTCTGTGAACTTTGCTGTACTGATTTAGATACTGTCATCGTGTATTTCTGTAAACCTGCCTTTGGAAAACAGGTTTGTTTTCTTTAACAGTGCAGTCAAAGCAAATGACAAAGTAACTTGTGGCTGACCAAAAACTGTATTTCCTCTCACTAAAACGATTATTTCTTAATTAGAAAAGCTGTATCTCAACAACTTAGACACTTTGATAAATTCAGAAATGCAGTCTGTTTTCATATTTCTCATTTATTTATTCTGGTTTGCTTTCACTTCATGAATCTGTTCATCTGAATTACCTCCAGCTGATCCAGTAGTTTCTGATGCAGAGTGTAGAACAAGTTATTTCATTAAGGGTTATTATTATTTTTTGAGCTAACTGCTACAAAGCAGATGTTCATGCCAGAAGGGCTATAGAATCTCTATGTCCAGACTAAGTTCATCTGCAGTGGTGATTTAATCAGTGGTTCTCATGGATATTTTAAGCTATTAAGACATACTGCTAAGTCACAGCAGTCCCTCATGGTTCAAAGCATAATTTGTTCTTTACGTTTTTCAGCCACAGTATTTTTGTCTTCAGTTTTGTCCAGACTATGAAAAAAACCTGGTTTTTCTCCTTGGAGCTTTGTTTTCTTGCTATGTAGGCTGAAGAAAAATTGCTCCCCATCTGGGAGTGTAATGACAGTAATTAAAAATGCATTCACTCTGAAGTGACAAGGAATCAGTATGGAACAGATTGAAGATTTGGGGGAGTGAATTTCTTCCTCTTGTTTGATGCTGTGATAATTGTGCTACATGAGTTCTTCTGATTTTACAGTCACTGCATCTCAAGACTTCCAAATTCATCAATAGTAATTAAAGTTTCAGATCAGGACGTGCATGAGCTGAGTGGCCACGGTTTGCACACTGGTTACTGCAAAAATCTAAACGCTGTTTTTTAAAGTTGCCAGGTGTTTTGGAAATATTTGACCAGCTGAGAACGGATGCTGTGCTGCATCTCTGCTCCTGACCCTGCAGGCAACCCGAAATGCCACCGTGCTGAGATCCTACACTTCCTTTCCTTGTTTTATGTATATACATACATATACATACAAATAAATTAATAAATGCATCAAGCAACCAGTCTGTGGAATCAAACTGATGTGGAATCCAATCCTACTTCTTCAGATGTGCTCCTCGGTCTCTGAGGAGTCTCATACCAATGGCTTCATAGATAATGTTTTGAAAGCGCGTTGTGTTCTGAAAGCACAGCCTTTTCTCTCCTCTCTTTAGCATGGTTCAGTCAGGAGCTGCATCACTGCATATCCCTGACCACTCCAGGTCCCAGGCAGGCAATAGTAACTGATGCTGTCAAAAGGAAAAACCCCTCCCAGCGTCCTGTGTGAGCCACAGGAATGGGAACTGAGGAGGAAAAGCCAAGCGATTTCCATGGTCACCTTTGCTGTCGAACTGCACACATCTCTGCAGAAAATCTGTGCAAAAATGTCTTTTAATGGAGCAAGAGGACAGATGTTTCACTGGGGAGAGCTGGCTTTTTGTGCTATGAACTGATCTCATCTATGCGCAATAGCAGTAGGAGCTACAGTGACAACCTTAGGTCTGAATTTTAATTTTACCCTCTTCAAGCCTGCCGTGTGTCAGGAGCTTCCAATAGGAAACAAATTGCACACTTTGGGGTGGAAAGCAATAAAGGATGAAGCAGCTTTTCATTGACTTTCTGGATCAATTGCTTCTGATATGTTTGAAGTTATGAGACTAACAGAAATATAAACAAAATATTTCATGGAAGTTCCATATAGATCACCTTAGACATGGTGTTTGTGAACCGAAACACTGGAGAAACAGGAAAGAGTTCTGGTTTATTGTTTCTGCTTTTCAGTTTAAAGTTGTCGTCATTAACATCTCAAAATCCCTGAATCCTAATAGACTGTTGTTTCCTTTTCCTGTATTCCCCCAGGCAATGGATTTAGATATTCCAGTGCTGGCGAGGAACATTCCTGGGAACGCAGCGATCATAAAACATCAGGAAACAGGCCTGCTGTTTTCAAACCCCCAGGTAAGAAAACAACAAATCATTGGGCCCTGCGCTTCCAAAGGTTGGGTTCATTTTCCATTACCTGCCTGTGTCTGTCTGGAAACTTGGCTGCTTCTCTCAGACTCTCCTACCAAGCTGCTGTCAGCCTGCTCTGCTGTCGTCTCACTCTCACTCTGCAGTTCACTCAGCTTTTCCTAGGTGTCAGCCTTGCTGAATGTTTGGGCTGTGCTGCTGTAGAGCCATGCAGTGGGGCTGCTGCTCGGCTACTTGTTGCACTTGACTTTGAAGGAGCCATGAGCAGGCCCTGGAGGAGATGCTGTGCAGATGCTGTTTCCCTTCCCATACCAACTGAGATTCGAATGCACATTACACAAACAGATCTAACCCAAAGAGAACTGTGAGCCTGAAATGTTAGATAACACATTATCTCTAATTTCTAGCAGTAAGTATTAATATAAAGCATTATTAGGCCTGAGATACTGCTCAGTCACAAAATAATTAGTAACTAAAATTAAGTAAAGTGCTAGAATGGAGTTTCTGTGAAGATAAGTTAAGAGTGGGAAGAGAGGGAACACTACCCATATTTAAATGCTTGAAATTTTTATTTCAGTAGATTTTCCTGCATTATGGCTCTGCTGTAACATATTCACATATGCTGTGAAAGAGGACTTTCAGACACAGATTCCCTCGGCGTTTTCATCCAACTCAAGACCAAAAAAAACCTTCCTAGAATAGTCTGATAATTTTGCAAAGTAGAAAATGTATCACATCTATTTACTTTGTGGACTGTGTGATTAATGCATTCTATTAGGTTGTGTTTCAGGAAGGTGAATTCTCTTGGTTAGTTTTGGAGGTTTGTTTAATAGAAAAATTCTTGCACCTCATGGTTTGTTTGATTTATTTATTTTTTCAATTCTGGAATATTAAATGTTTCCAGTGGTTTCTGGAATAAATTTCTTTGTTAAGTTCTGGAATTAATTTTGTTGTGGAAGTATTTCCTATTCTGGCAATAGGCTGTGGAAATTGGGTCCTTTCAGGTTTGTGGAATCTGAGATGTAAAAGCTGTTCATAAAGTTATAAAATTCCCTGCAAAAAAGCCCATTGACTTCCACGTGCTTCTTCCAAACGTCTAGGATGTGTGATGAAGTTGTGCACACAGACTGATGGCTCTCCTGATATTAATTCTGATACACTCTGGTTTTCCCTCATTGTGCCGGTTACATTTGGCTTGGAACTCAAATGCATTATTCATACCAGACCCAATTAGCTTTATCCTACTCCCTTGTAAGAAGCCTCTTCTGCGAACTCCAAGCATCCTACATACCAAGTGTTTATTAGGAATCCAAGATCAACTAAAAACATGCTGTATGTTTCCTCACTTAGGGGAAAGTGCAGTGTTAAGGACAGAAGTAGTCCCGGTGACAGCAATAGAAATAGCTAAGGACTTTCTTAATATGTAAATATGTCTAGAATGCTGTAATCTGAGTTTCTATAAACGCCTTCTGCCTGAGCTTCCTTCTATGCCAAAGATCAGAAAACCCAGTCTACCACTACTGCTCCCGTTGATCCCCTTTTTGCTGTTACTCTACCTCAGAAGCCCACAGAATCACTTTTAAGTGAGGATGTAACCTGTATTGCCACATTAGCTCTCGTACTCCTAGGCAGTATTTGTGCTGGAGTCACTAATGTTTGCGCAGTTACCAAGGCAAGCAGTATCCTGGTTTCTCTGTAAAACAGGATCTCATTTCATAAAAGCCCTTTTGTGCTTTCATTGGTGTCGAATAATGTATAAACTATCAAAGGTTGCAAATGGGTCAGGGAGATATTTGTTTACAGGATAATGCTCGAATCCCACTGCTGAGCCGTTGGAAAACTTGAACTCACAACGTCAATCCTCATCACTTTTACAGATAAAGTAACCATTTACTCTTGTTCCTTATCTCCCCAAACCATATCAAATACAGTTTTTAAACCACTGTACACAGTCTATCAGAGGTTGAGAGTTATATTAGATCACAGAAATGTGATTAAGTTAAAAAACATACAGTTTCAAGGTCTGCCTCGCATTTTTATTGTTGGAAGAAGGAGCAGGCTGCCCATGGCACTTTGAGCACTGCTTTTAAGAGTCAGTCTGACCACAGGGAGCGGAAAAGATACGATCTGGTCAGAAGTTTTCTGGGTTTTGTTACTCTGATTGCTTTGACATCTTAAGTATCTGGTAAACCACTTTCTGCTGTAACCTCAATTGCATCAGGTTCGTTAGGGAAAATGCTTTTAATCAGACAGAGATTAGTTCTGCGTTTAGGTGCTACGGGAAATCTGGACCACCAAAGGTTAGAGAATGTCACGGAAATTTTAATTGCTGAGTTCAGTGGTCCCTACCTGGTTGTGATGATGCAGGTTGTATCACAGGCCAAGAGCAGAAAGCACTGCGTATTTTCAAGTCGTTGCTGATCTGGAAGGGGAAAGCTTTACAATACGGTTAGATTGGATATGAGCAATTGTGTCTGCTCTGTGGACTGTCTTATCTTTTGAAAGCTAAATTAGAGGGCTATAAATTGACCATTACAAAATGAGAATTGGTTTAAATTGTGAATGCTGTTGATTTTCTTTCATTCTTGCTGAAAGTGAGCTTTTGTGGCTTACAGGAAAGTAGGAAATCTGGTGCATAATTGTAGTCATCATTAACCATTTGCATTTAAGCTGAGGCCTCATGACTGGAAGCAGTGGAAGCATTGCCAATCACTGAAGAAAATATTCAGATGGAAATGGCTATAAAACATTTTGTCCTTGATACTACTTCATGTGTGCACGTTGCTTTTAAATCATGGTTTGATCCTGCCACTACTTGAATTTGCAAGTTTATGGAGTATTTGACACTGAGTTGATGGGACCTAAAATAAAAAAAATAAGTGAGTGAGAAGAATAGGGCAATAAATAATGCAAAAAAACCGTAAGACCCAAAGAGTTATTCAGCATCCTGAAATTCAAAATTCTATGTTCAGCATCTGTAAAAGCTCACAGAAGGAGCTAAATGAACAGGAAGAGGTAAATAAACTTGAAAGCCAAGAGGGGCCAAGCACAGGCAGAGTTTGAGAGCGAGCAGGAGCTGCAGAGGCTGCTGGTAGCAGAGACAACCTGTGGAGCAGGAAGAGGGAAAGGCAGCTGAGCTGAACCCAGGCAGCCGTGCAGTCAAGGCACCTTGGCCTCATTGCCAAGCACGGGCCACTGCCATTTCTGCCAGGGCTCCAAGCCAGAATGTAGCCAAGGCTTTAGACCTTTGAACCTTCACACTGAATAGACTGACATGCAATTTTTTTGGCAGTGGCAGCAGTCACTGTTTATGCTCCCCTAGAAATGCTGGCCCATTGCCCTGTGAAATGCATGGATGTACAGCTAACTTCAGAGCTTTGCCTGCCACCAGGTAGATGTGGCTACTCTGAATTTACACCTGACGTTTGCCTTCCCTGAGGTGCTTCTCTGTTGTTTAAGAATCATGTTCTTTTATCTGCTGAAGCTGATAGGAAATGGTTTAATCACAGACTTACTTTCATTATATAAATAATATATTAACCATGCCTTTTATTTTCATTATGCGTGAGCTGCAGCACTGTTGTAGTTCTCGTGGTAATTGAATGAATATTCAGTCTTTTTATTCAGTGAACTCATTTTCTGGCTTTATCTCCCACATACCTGTAGTTCTGGGGCTCAAAAGAAATTCTGTATACTGTTTTTTAAGGTACTATATGGAGAAGCTGACATTTTCTTTAAAGATGATTGATCAATTTACCAGGGGAAAAAAAAACCTCTATTATGGATGGTGCTGTTGAAAAATGCCTGTGTTTGAAGTGAAGTACTACCCATAAAAATGGCACGTGTAAAATCAGTTCTGGATGTACTGAGGTTCAACGTTTACACTGTTGTTCTGTAATCGGAATAGTATTGGTACATAGTAATGATACCAATTTCTATATGTGAACAAAAGGCTTATTAGGAATATGGACATCCCCCCAGTAGTACATTAACATGCGTATCACCTCCTTCATGTTGGCTGCTGAAGTGCGTACTCTTGTGTTTGGTAATTGAAAAGTAATTTGTGAATTTTCTCTTTTGCCAAAAGCGAAGCTTCACATCTACAGCAAAACATGAGAGTGCACAGATTTGTGCAAATATCACATAAATCAAATAAAGAGAGATGTTCTCCCAACGTAAGTAGGTTGTATATCATAGGCTTCTAGAAAAGAAAAATGAAATGCTTGGTTTTCTGAAAGACCTCTTGAATGCCTGCGTTCTGCGAGTGGGAGCCCATGCTTCAAACTTCCAGCAGGACTGCAGCTGAAATGCCAGAGAGCTGGAGTTGGGGGAGACACCTGAACAATGCAGTTATTGCTATCTAGAGCTGAGCATCCAAAACTGCAAACATGCCGAGCCAGCTGCTCAGATGGTACGACGGAAAACCCAGATAAGTCAGAGTGAATCTGCCCATTGGCTTCCAGTCAGATGGCAAGTGACTTGTAGGTGGTCACATTCGATTAGTAGAAGAAGTAGGGATAAAGCTGAGAAGTCCTTATTCTCCGTCTCCTGGTATTTTTCCATTTGCTATTGCTCTCTCCTGCAGTTGCGCAACTTTTATGCTTTGGACTCAGCCTGGCATTTTCCTGAACTTATCCCCAGCATAAAGTATTGTAACTGTGAATAAGGATCTCGTTTCTTCTATCATTTACATGTTTCCAAGTTTTTGTCCTCTGTATCCACATTTTAAGAGAATGCTAATAGGACTACCTGTCAAGAAATGTTACATTGCTGCTTCTGTTCTTTGGTAATTTACATAAATTATTTTTAAGCATTACTTTAAATAAAATCCTCCACAGGAGCATAAAATTAAAGTTGGAATGTAGTTCGGTGTGAACAGTATTTATTGCTGTGATTATACAGGCAATTGGATGAAGCCAGCATAAGTCATGTAAGACTTTCCCACCTTCCTGTTCTGTATTCCTGGCAGACAGGGAGGAAGGAAAAGAGCATGTCCCTGAAGTTGGAGTCATCGGCTCTATCTGCAGTGCAGGGTACTCTGGAGCAGCCTTGCCTGTCTTCATAGAATCACAGAACATGAGGAGTTGGGAGGGCCCTGGAAAGCTCCCCCAGTGCAACCCCTGCCACAGCAGGATCACCAGAGCAGTCACACAGGAACACGGCCAGGGCTTTGGGTGTCTGCACACAAGGAGACTCCACAACCTCTCTGGGCAGCCTGGGCCATGCTCCAGAACCCTCACGCTCACAAACTTTGGCCTCATCTTCAGCTTGAACCTCCTGTGCTCCAGCTTGGGACCATTGCCCCTTGTCCTGGCATTGGCCAGCCCAGAGCAGAGCCTGGCTCCTTCCTCCTGACACTGCCCTTTCCCAATGGATCCCCAGGAATGAGGGCACCCCTCAGTCTCCTCTGCTCCAAGCTCAAGAGCCCCAGCTCCCTCAGCCGTTCCTCAGCAGGAGATGCTCCACTCCCTCCAGCATCTTTGTGGCCCTGCTGGACTCTTTCAAGCAGAAAACCATCCCTCTCTTCATTAGGGATGGTCTCAGCAGCAGTCAGAACACAGCCTCATCGGACCATAACTAATAACCTGCGCTGACCACGTCTAAATGCCTCATATTTACAAAAACATGTTCTCTGGTCCTAAATAGCCCCCAGCACCCTCCTGTAGCGTGGCTCCCAGTAAGGAACCGGATGCGCTGGTTAAATGACACATACCTGAACACAGGGTTGTTGTGGATGGAAAGCAGGCTGAATACAAAGCAGGTGGCCCCCATGGCTATTGCAGAAGCCACTCTTGCAGTGCTGTGTGGGCAGAGCAAAGCTTACAAGCAATGCTGATTTTATGTAAAATACGAGGTTGTCATGAATATGCATGCATGAATATCATCTTATTCTACTACCTCGTTACAGATGTTTCCAGCAGAGCTGATGTGCATCTCTGACTATCGAAATTTCACGTCAGTGATGTGTACATTGACGGTTTGTCTTGTCAGTGAGAGTCAAAGCAGTGATTATAAAATGCTCGGTATGATTTCACATAGCAGTGTTTGCCAGGGCTCACGTTACACTTCTGTATTATGCACAGCCACCACTTGCATTATAGCAGCAGCATTGATCTGTGGGAACCAAAGATTTCATATCTGTGTATGTGTTTATATGCACTGTGTACTTAGGTTTTCAAGTACAGTTAACCTGATACAAAATCTGCTTGTATCTGTGACATACCCGTTCATATATAAACAACATATCTCCTTCTCCCATCCTTTTTGTCCCCTACGCCCTGATCTTCACTACCAGTTGTGTAGTAATGTATTATCTTAATTTTCCATTGACACAATAGCAATCTGCTTCTCTGAGCTGAAACAAGCCACTATTCTGCAAAGATCTGAGCACATTTGTAATCAAGCTGAAGTATTGGAAGTTTCTTGATAGAAAATTAGACCAGCTGCTCAGAGTAGATTAGTTCAGACATCAAATCTCCTTTCCCATGTTTGAAGTTCACAGTTTCTCTTCTCTAGAACTAAATTAGAGGAGCAGGCAAAGGAGTAGTTGTAGTCTGCGAGGTCTAGTAAAGTTGGAGGGAATCACAGAATCACAGAATCGCTCGGTTGGTCTTTACCTCTGAGATCATCACGTCCAACCGCTCCTGTCTACCCACTAAACCATATCCTTAAGTACCTCGTCTACCCGCTCTTTAAACACATCCAGGGATGGTGACTCCACCACCTCCCTGGGCAGCCTGTTCCAGCTTCTGACGACCCTCTCAGTAAAGAACTTCCTCCTTATCTCTGACCTGAACCTCCCTTGGCACAGCTTGGTGCCATTTCCCCTTGTTCTATCCCCCATCACCTGGGAGAAGAGACCAGCACCCACCTCTCCACAAGCTCCCTTGAGGCAATTGTAGGTGGTGATGAAATCCATATATGAATTAATATATGGCTTTTTGCAGAGGTTGTTGAGCCTGTGACCACCCAGATTACAACCAGTCTGGAAGAGCTGCTTGTTGCACGCCTGCTCTTATCTTTATACTGTGACTGTATTTTTGTAGTGAGTTTTTTAGCCTTACCATAGACTTAACTAAGGATGTCATAGTAGCAATGAGATCAACCAGTCTGATGCCAGCTGTCCTCAGAGGATGAAGCCAGGTGAATCATTTCATTTATAACCAGCCTGGTTTTCTAACGCTTGGGTAGGCAAACAATTTTTGTGTCATGAAATACATTGCTCGTGTTTGCCTTAATGCTCTTGGGATTGTCTTTGGTTTTAAATGTCTCCGTTGATGAGCTGCATAAAATAATATCTAAAATGATTGCTTATTGATCATTATTTATAGAAAATGCTGGTACTTGACCTTGAAAAATTGCTTCCAACAGCTTCATATATCGGCTCACAGCTGAGGTGCTTTACCAAAATCAAGATATGGGTACAAGCTATTTCAGTATCATCAGAACTTCAAGGAACTTTCAGTTCATTGTATTTTTGTCTTTTTTAGGAGTTCGTTGTGCTGTCCAAGAGTTTGATGAATGACCCCGCTATGGAAACAGAAATTGTGACAAGGGCCAAAGACTACGTGAGGAAACATCATTCCTGGGAGGGTGAAAGAAAAGCCTATCAGAATCTCGTCCTAAGGCTCCAGTGAGTGCAGGCCCACAGCTGGCACCCAGCAGTCTGCATAGAGCACTTTAATGATGGATGTGTAATTAGAGTTGGGTTTCTGCTGGTTTCTTTTCAGAAGAGAGTGTAAGACACGCATTATTATTCTATTCAAACATACCAACATCACAGGAGTTGCCCACTACTTCAAGCTTTCCAATTTATCTAATTCAGCACAATGATTCTAGCGTACCAATTCATCACAGACCAGTAAGGTCACCAAAGAGAAATATGAGAAATATCCTCCTTGAGCTGACACAACGTTTCTGTTGCTGTAAGGCCTCAGAGGGAGGATGATTTCTTGTCCACACTGGATGACTCCACCTCACAGAGCTCACATCAGTTGTTGTGATCCCATTGCATCCTAACCAAACTGCAGTAGGAGGTTTTTTTTTCCTAATTATACCCATCTGAATCTATTCAGGTACATGACACACATGTGGTCATAAAGCCAAGAGCAGCTGTATGTACAGAGCATACAATTATCAAGAAGATGAAGGCTTTCTGAACACTAAAAGATCAAAGTGTCTATTGTCTGCATGATGATCAGGGGGCCAAGCAGCAAATGCAGCGCTGAAGTGAGGAGCACAGGGCATGGTTTTTACTGCCCTCTGAGTACCTGAGGTGCTTTCAGATAAGCTGATGGGGCTAAGCAGCGCCGTGCCTGGTTTTGGGGACGGTTGGCACAGCACCCACCAGCTGCACATGGCTTCAGATGGCAGAGCTGCACGGTCCTGCCCCCAGCAGCAAGGCTGCCTGCAGACAGAGATGCTGTGTTAAATCTACCTCTTCGTTTGCCGGTTCCTTTGGTACCTCTGCGATTTACTTATTTAACAAAAGATTTATGAGAGCTGTAAAAAGGGATGAAGGGAGGGAGAAAAAGGTATTTTCAATTTACTATGTATTTTGGTACTGTTCGTTCTTATTTGTGTCTTTCAGGGTAGATTGTAATATACTGCAGCAGGCTATTTAAAAATGAGACTTATCTGTGCTTGAAGTCTGTTCTAATCATTCCTGCCAGCCCAGTGATTATGAAAAGATCTTTGAATCCGTAATTGCTCATCAAGGGACTTACATTTACAGAAAAAATGGATTTTAACTATTTATTATTGGGAAACTCTTTGCTTTGTATAGGCTTGATCTTGTCCCCATGCAAAGCAGTGAGAGGTTTTCTATGCATTTGAATGGCTGTCGAGTCAGACTTTTCTTTGTAGTAATGATTTTCACTGTGTATTTTAAGCTTTCCTCTTTGTATTTGATGTTTTGCAACTGTTGGGACAGTAAACAAGAAAGCAATTTGAATGTGGTATATTGACTTCTCCAAAACTTTTTCACTGTAATGGGCTTCTGCTCAGCATTGCGCTTGATAACAGAATCCCCAGGGGTAAAACCAGCTTGATTGCAATACAAGAGTTGCTATACTGCCTTTTGAGCACATTTTCCCTAAATATTTATGATGGGATACAAGTACATCTGGGGTAGTCCTTGGTTTTAAAGCCACCAGCCAACATCTACCACTGAACAGCTTTAAACCTGCAACTGAATGGGCCTGGTGGGTTTCTCTGCTGACCCTGATGTTTTCGGACAGCTCTGTCACCAGTGAGGCCTCTCATGGGATTGCAGCGTCTCTTTTGGCCACAGCAAGCTATACACCCAAGGAGGAACTCCTACAGCACGGGTTTTTCAGCATGACCTAAGTGCTGTGGGACCTCTGTAGGCAACAGGAAAGAAAGAAGAGCATTTACAGGTAACAGCTGAGTGCAGGGAGTCCTGTTCCTCTCAAAGCATCTCACAGATCTCTGCAAGTATCTCTGATAATCTGCTTGGCTGGCTTTGATCCTTAGACCTCCCCTCTTCCTATAGTGTTGGTTGTCTTCTGAGAAATACAGATTATGAACAACAAATAAACGAATGCAAATATACAAGTCAGCTGTACTTCTAAGCATTGCTCTAATGGTGACTGATTACCAACAGTAATGATTAGAAAGCTTTTTCTAAAGCATGAGCTATGCATTACCAAGCTTCAAGGAACTAAATACATCGATCTGGAATTTCCAGCAAAACAAAACACGTTCAAGTGAGAAATTCTGCTACGCCCTCAGAATGTAATTAACATACGATTTTTTCAGGCTGTATTTAATCTATAAATATGAAATCTGCATCTGGGAAACAGCGTGCTTATTTGCATGTGATAACCATACCAGAAGCACAATATATGCAATAAAGAAAAGAAAGAAAACAGCCAAAATGTTGGTGAGCTTGTCCCTCAGGGCTGCTCGGAGTCATCAGAGAGGCAGCGTTCATCAATCAGGGGCATTCAGCTTTGGTATCATTCATCACACGGGCTCGTGTGCTGCACGGAGCCTGTCTGTGAAGGCTAAAAGGCTGGGGCAACAACTGCTGGGGCATTGCATCACAACAAATTGCAATTGAACGTGTGTTTTAAATTTCATCCAGTCGTACGTACCAGGCCTATAAATATTCAATGAGTCTTGTGAGTCCTTGCAAAGAAAATATTAGACCCCGTGCAAGCAATTTTAGCTGTAATTATCTTTCAAGAAACTTCACTCAAATGAGTTGATATTTAAGAATAATCCTTTTGTTGTCCTGTAGCCCTAATTACTGTATTTATCGTCCCCCTTTTCAAAGCCCCGTTTCTTATTCTAGCAGCTTTTTAGGCCAGGCACACCTCGATGAGCTCCAGCTCCAGAAATAGCACTTGTTCTGTTCGCAGGAAAAGCCTGCATTGTGCATTTACCCCACGGCTCGTTCTGTGTTGCAGGACCTTGAAATGTACTGCTAATTAATCCAATTACATGCGTTTTATTTTGCAATTAATTCTGCCATTGAATCCACGGGAACTGAATGAAAGCAGTGGACCTGGACAATGGGTGCCACTGTGCTGTTTCCTTTCTTGGCACAGTTACTTCAGAAGTGCAGACAATTTGGCAGTGTGTGGCAAACCCCAGCTAGAGCCTGTGGCGTGGGGAGTGAGAGCTTCCTGAATTAGGGTGTCACTTGAATTAGCCTCAAACCTTAACCAGTGGCTGCTCTAAGAACGCTGGTTCTGGGTTAAATCTTCCCAATTTTGCCTGCTCCTAGGTAAAAAGTTACTGTTGGCTTAAACCAGCAGGGGTTTACCAGCTCCCACCTCTGCAGCCTTGGCTCTGCTGTTACCCAAGCAAGTGGAGCCAGCGCTGCCCTCCCCTTGCTGGGCTGATGGGAGCATCACAGGCAAAGGGTTGAGTGGGAAGCAAAGGGTTCTTCACATCCTAGAGCAAGCACCACATTTGTCAGCCTCTCGTCCTGTGCCTGTAGCCCAGCCAACAGCTGCCTCTGACCAGCGGCCTTTGGCAAGCACATTGTACCGCTGCGAACTGGCCCATCTCAACAGTAACCGGAGCGCCTCTGAGGTGGACCAGAAAACGTGGCTGGAGGGAAATAACGTCTGATAGAATCGGGGAAAGGATTTAGATAAGTATCTCTGGGGATTTAAAGGAAACAAAAGTCAGACTTTTCTCTTTGGGCTCTTTACAGCTCATTTTAGAAATTTGAGAGTATTTACGGAGACATTTCAGAAGGCACAAAGGAAAGAGGAAGGCGCTGGAGTATGACTATGGCTGTATTAGCACATTCTTGCAGTGTTTTAGAAAAGGCAATGGCTGGGGAGACTTGGCTCCAAAACTAATTCAAGTGACGTGGCATTTTTAATATTAACATTTTAAATTCAGCTTTGGCGTGTGGCAGCAGTTGACTTTTATGATTATCAGGGATGAGGAGGCTTGCAGAATGGTGTGTGTCCGGCCATGATCACCGTGACACCCTCGTGAACCAGCAGATGAGTTCAGAGCCCTTTGGGATGCCAATTGCCGTCTGATTTGGAGTCCTAACAGAGCCTGGGAGCTCCAGATCAGCAACAGGTTACTTGTGGTATTGGTGATCTCAAGGAATTGAGTGAAGATATTTCACTATTAACCTGCTTGACACATCAAGACTTAAAGACAACTGTCAAAAGAAGATGTTAAATTATAAATTGGAAGATTTAAAAGTATTTGTGCTCCTTCTGCAAATCATTTCCCACCAACATAGCCCGAGTATTCAGCAATGCAAACATCTGCAGAGGCTACATTTCTGTTTAGTGAATGCACGAGTACCTCAGTCTTCTTTTTGGCCGTATTTTCTCCTGTCTGTTGGGCTCGTAGCCTGTTCTGTCCCTTTCTCCCCTCAGTCTTTTTAATTCTGGGGAAGAACCACTCCACGAGAACATAAAGAAACAGTTTTGTCAAAGGCTTGTCAGAGGAGATGGGTGCTCCCATGTGGAAATCAATCATTTAATGGCTCAGTGGGATCGGGGCAGTTTTTTTCATTAAGTTGTCCAGAGTAATTTCATCACTCCCGAATTTATTTCCCTTCCACCCTCCCCTGGTTGATCCCAATGCAGTTGCTGTAATATCTGGAACTCAAAGCTGATATAAGAGCGGGTCCCTGCAGCCTGAGCTGCAGTTGCTCGGTGCATCCTTGCACGTGTCCCAGTGTTCCTCGATGCCACCGGCTCCTTCAATTCTGGTGATGCAGCCAGAGGAACACCTTGATCTTCCAAAGTCTGAATTGCATTTAGAATTGCAAGGTAAAGGAGCTACTATTTAAAAAAACCACTTATGGTCACCAATGTAAGAGTAAAATTGTGTGGTAAAACCAGGATTTCTAATTTAAATTTTAAAAAAAATACATTTTCTAAAGGCAGTGGCTATTCTTTATGTGCAATTTAATCCTCTTGAAATGAACTCTGTTTTCATCAAGTAACTATTTCGTGTCATTCCTATGACATCTCATTTTAGGTATTAACTATTGAGGCCACTTGAAATCTCTCATCCTTTTCAAATAATGTGTTGTCCAGAGCCTGACAAATTATTCCACAAATTCGTTTTCCCTCCAGCATTGCCATCAAGCTAATTTAAAGCATTTGTGTAAAATTAAACATTTAAT